AGAAGTAGATAAACCTAGAAAGTATTACATATATGCACATCTGTGCACTGTTTACCTGTTATTTATTTGCCAGTGCTCCTGGTTGCCTTACACAGAGAGTGCAAAACAACCTCCAAAGAAAACCCTAACAGAATTAGACAGCATTTTTGGAGCAGTTAGGGATGAAATAGCATTTTAAGATGTAAGTTTAAAGGGCAATACTGTTTCTTTTTACCCACTTGAAGAAGCCTTTTACCAGGAGCTACAGCACAAGAAAGCACTAAAAGAAGGAAGATATTTAAGAAAATAAATGTGAGTAGAGGGTTTGTAGGAAATAATAGCAGAGATGTATCTGCAAAGGAGACTAAGATGCTGCAGGTGAGAATGGAGAAGAGCTTAGTGGTTTGAGGTGAGAGGTAGCAAAAAGACTGAAGGAGCTCGAGGATGTGGATTTGGACCAGAGCAAAGAGCTGTCATGAAGGGTCTCAGCCTAAATTGTGGAGGGGAAGCTGAGAAGGAATAGCGAGCAAGTGAAAATGTAAGTCTGGTGTCCTAGTACAAAAAAATACATTGTGAATGGGGTAAAGAGGAGAGTGGAGTGTTGGTGGCAGCGGGTGAGGGAGGGAATCACCAGTGACTTTAAAGCAGCGCTTTGGTAACAGGACAGTTGTCCTTTCTGTCAGCAGCTGCTGTGTGCTGTTCTTTTAAACCAAAATGCAGTTAATGGTTAGTAGGGGTGAAACTTTTTCCCTGCAGAAGACGCTTGCTCCGGAGCCAGAGGTGGGAGAGGCTGGTCCTCCTCACACACCTGGCCCGAGGGAGTGCTGCTCTGCTGAGTGTTGGGTGGCCTGCTGCAGTCCCTGGCCTTGTTAAGGGGATGGGGCTGGCTTGACTTTTGTCTCTGGGGCTGGCATGGAGACAAGCCTTAACATTGTTTTCCAGTTCATCTCTTGAGACACAGGAAGGTTTTGGAGGATTTTTGAAGCTCTGGCTGGTGGATTACAGTAAACATAAACCTAAAGAAGTGAACTAGCTGTTTCTGTATTTTGCCTTTGAGCATCTTCTCCCAGTATGGAACAGGATTTTGAGTGTGTCCATGCTGAGGGGGTGTGAATGCCTACACACACATGCATGTTGATTCCATTCTCCTTTCATTGGGTGCTAAAGGCACAGAACCAACCAAAGCTGAGGTGCTGCTGCCGCGATGAGCACGAGAACTGGCTGCTCTGCTCACTGCCCAAGCCCTAACCTGGGTGAGAGACTCGTAGGGAAGACAGAGCAACGGCTCATGAGTGTCGCTGTGTCCCTTGGCTTTCTCAAGGCCTTCTGTGTGCCTGAGGAGTCTTCAGCTCTCCTTACTGAATCCAGTTTAAAAGTTACTAGGCAAATTATTTTATACACAGGCTTAATTCAGGATCTGGGTAGTGGCTCTGTCAACTGACTACCAAGTACATTTAATATCTATTTTTGTGAGTGTGTGTCCAGTATTAATTTCTTATGTTAGGAAGTCTTTTTTACAAAAAACAAACCAACCAAAACCAAAAAACCTATTGTGGAAAGAGGTGATGTTGTGTTACTGCATCCTGGCAAACAGATCACAATTACTAGATTTTAGTGGCTGTAATGAGAAAAAGGAGACTTGGCCCCAACCAGTTAAGGACCAAAAGCTTCACCTGCATTTGTTTTAAATCTTTAGCAATAAATACAAGGCTGAAAAGGAGCCAGTTCACATTATCCAACATTTTTTTGTAGGCTTTTATGTAGCTTGGTATACTTGTGATGAGAACACTTACTTATGGTAATGGTTTAAGAGAATTTCCCTGAAGGTCGAGGTGTGCAGCTGTGTTTATGTGAGCTCCCAGTTGCTTCACTGATAATACAAAATCCCACTTCTGATGTATGTTACTTTTCATTCTTCTTTTTTTTTTATTTCTCGACAAGATCTTCCTGAGCTGTGGACACCATAAAAGGTACTGGATTTGGGTGGTTAATAGCACAAACTGTCAGTGTGATCTCATTCTGGAGCTGCACATCAAACCCAAATCCAATTAGATTAAATCACTAAGTATTTTGTTTCTTTAATGCTGTGCAAAACCTGAGGAAACTTTCCCCATTGTGGTGCTGTACAGCTGTGTACTACTCTGATGTTTTTCTCAGGAAAGGTGCAGTTGAGGTGGAAGTCTTAAAAGCAAACAAAACCACCTTCTGCTCTGTCCCTTCAGTGTGAGGGTACCTTGACACATGTCCTTTCCCTGAATCCCCTGACAGCTTCCAAGAGACTGATGCAAATAACCATGCCAGGCTTTGATTATGAGATATTGCACTGCCACTTATTCTCTTTGTCTCCTGCAGTTTACAGAGGCAGCTTCAGTGCATAATTTAATCCCTGTACTGCAGAAAATCCACAGAGATTTCTACCAACCGTCCTCCCTGGCATCAGAACAACATGTGCATGTCGTCTTTGATGTGAATTCCCCAACCAGAGCCTTAGAAGGACCTAGAGCTTTGAAGCTGGCCTATAAATTGTGCTTTCAGGAATCAAGTTGTCAGCCTACTCTTCAGGAAGAAAGGGAGAGTAAACTGTAAAGCAGTTGCATAAAGCTACAGGGCAACTTACAGACCTGGCTTTCTTGGCCTCGAAGAATTCCTGTATAATGTTGAGAATCCCTTTTTGCCTGCCTTAGAAGCATCCTCTTTGGTGGCTGCAGGAGGCAGTGAGACTGTGATGGGCCTTGTCCTGATGGGTGCCTTGTTTCCTGTTCCAGGGCAGAGGGCAGGGGAACAGGCACACCAGTGCTTTCCACCTGTTGAAGTGTTTTCAGTCTTCCCAAGCCAAACGCTGACAATGAGCCTGCAGTGACCTTTGCGTAGGTAAATTTTCAGGGTGGTGTAGAAACAGGTGAAAACTCCCACCTGGTGTGATGGTTATTCTGTGACAGATCTAACTTCCACCTGTTGTTTCCTAAGACAGCAGGAGTATGGGCAGACTTCTGCCTTTCTGTTGAGGTGGAAATAAGCTGGTCTTTGGGATGAGGAATTTCAGTGGCCAAATCTTGTTTGGAAGGTCAAATTCAGTTGCCCTTTTTAGCGTTCAGTGTCTGCTTATGTGTCCTGCTGTCATCTCTGGGAGCCCCTTCCGTGCACACCTGAAGAAGCAAAGAACTGACTACAGTCAGTTGATTCTGATCACATCAATCTTGATTTTTTTTTACTATGTTCTTCATCAAGTAAGAAAGCTCAAAACTATTCTGCTACTATCCATGTCACTCCTGCTGATGCTATTATGCCAAACATTGCTAAAACTGATTCTTGCATCAAAACATTTACTGCGCAATCTACACGGAACTAACTCAGCCTTTCTCAGTATTCATGGAGAAGCTCCTTAGGCGAGCTGCTTCATAGACACATCTCCAAGTTCTTACTGTGTTTATAAATGTTACATAGATGTGATTGGGTAGAACTTTTCCCGTTTTGAGCAGATGAGTCTCTGGTCACCATCATAAATGAGTTGCACCAAACCTCATCAGATGTTCACAATAGGACCTGTCTACTTTTGGAGAATGGAAGCTGTGTTTTGCTGAGTATTTTTCTTGTCAGAGCTGTTACTGGAATAGTTTAATTTCAGTTAATTTTCTTGTCCTGTGCTCTGTTTGTTTGTATTTGGAACTGATGGCTAAATTCACTTCACAAGGGAGAAGGCTGCCATCAGTTTAGGGCAGGGCTGAGCAGAGGGAGCCCCTGATGGGGCTCCTTGTGGCAGCCTGTGGTTGGCAGTGACCTGTGCAGGGCCTGCCAGCTGGATCTGCTCTTCCTGGATGTTCCCAGGTTGGCTGCACTGTGGAGAAAAGCCCTTGGGTGGTGTCCTTCCTTTGAGGCTAGCGGGAAAGCAGCAGGGCCCTCTTCCCGGGAGGCTGGGCCTGCAGCAGTGGGTTCTAGAGCCCTTGGAAGCCAAGTCTCTGTTTTGATGCATGCTAGGGGCAAGTCCAGATGTCCACGTGGAGGCCGAGCAGCTGCAGGAGGGGGTGTGAGAACAGCACCAGCCTCAGTGCTGGGCCAGAGCAGGTCGGTGCCCGTGCAGCGTTCTGCAGCCTGCACCTTAGTTCTGTAATTCCACTCAAGGCAGTCAACAGCCAGCAGCGAGAGCTAGAGTCCAGCAGTGAAATGATGAGCGAGTGTCTAAATAGGAAAAACCTGGTATTAGTCTATTAGGGAAGTTAATCAGTTGATCTTTTGGGGAGGGCCTGTCTCTTCCTAGAGATAGGGCAGCTTTCCTGAGTTGTGAGGTTTTTCTTCACAGTGTACAACCAACTTTAATTTTTGGTCCATGTATTAGAAGCTTGCAGTATTGGGAAAACAAAAATCCAGACACAAATCCCTGACTGCTCATGGCTGCCCTCACACTGTTCCAAGAACCGAATGGCTCTGAGAAGTCTTGTATTAAAATGCAAAGTAAAACAGATTAATAAAAATCTGCACTCAAGTTTTTATTTACAATCATATTACTTTTATTTTTTCCATAATGTAACTTATTCCAAGTCCTCCCCCAGTAACTGATGCTGCAATGTTTGCGTTCAATAAACCTATACAATGATAGTTACATGCTGCTGCTTTCTCCTAAACCAGCTGGCCTGCAAACGTCTGCGCGTCGTACATTGTGTACAGAAACGGAACATCCTCCACGAGCATCTGGGGTTTCTTCAAACAGTCGTGGTAGAATGAGGCTGTACCAGAGGCACAGATCAGATGGTCTGTTCTCCCAGCAAGGAGAGGCAGTTCATCTGGCTGATGTGCCAAGAAGAAACAAAGTCTAAAAGCTTCTGATATTTTATTGATTACTCGATTACAGTAAACTGTAAATTTGCAGAGAAATGGTGGATGTGCTTACTTTTTGCTGGAAGCAATTACTGGAACTCCCAAATTGTTAAGCCTATCAACTTTACTTGAGAGGTACAACCTTTTTGTAACAAGGGACTTCGACCTCCAAGTGACGTGTGTGCAGGGAGAAAGGGAAGAAGACTTTGCATACTTAACTCTGTATTCTGTGCTTTAAAAAGCTAAGTGATTTGTATATCCTTTTCATTACCTAAGCATCTTTTCTCTTTCAGAGGAAGCTGTTTTCTGCGGGAGGAGTTACTTTTAATAACAGGTCAGTGCTATAACCAGGAATCCTGAATTAAAAAAATCACTTTTCTACTGCCAGGTATAAAGAACTACAGCTTATCCCTCTCGTTATAAAGCCAGAGGAGCCATCAGAGCTTTCTGTTGTACTACGCATTTCTAAAACACCTTCTCCTGTGCAGCTGCTGTAGGACTTCAGGTGGATGCAGCGATTAATACTGTGACAGAAGTGAGCCATTTCTCCTCTTTGCCCTGCCAACACTAGCATCTACAGACAAAATCAATGTTTAAAGCTCTAGTACATCACAAAATAGTGCTGATACTGGTATTTTACAACTAATGCAACATCCAGCAATTCACATGTATCTTAATAGTTAAAAACTCAAGACTGGGGTACTAACTAAATAAAACACTAACATGAAGTTTCCTTATCTGGCATGGAATAAGGAGGGGGATAGCTTAGATAACATTGTAGAGATTGGGCAGGAACAAAAAGAATTTATTTCTCCATCCAGTATTTTATACACTTTACAAAAACCAGTAATATCACTGTGCCCATAAAAATGTTATCCATGGCAATGGAAAGCAAATACTACTTTTTGTCATCTAACAGGGTCGTTTTTAAAATCATAATACAAAGATTTGTGCTGTAGCAGTCCTCCACTTTGCACGGTAACAATAAGGCTTACTGTACTTTAAATACAAAGCTGTTACATCTGCAGTTATGAGCCACTGGCTTTAACAAACATCATTTTATAGTTGCTTTTTGCTTCCTTTTTGTTTTCTTGAACCTCAGGTTCATCATGTTTTTCAGCAGCTTGTAGCTCCTCGGCAGACTCCTCTTGCTCCGACTCAGAGCCACTTTCAGAGTCCTCTGAACTCTCATCAGAGGAGTGTCCAACGACGTCGTCTTGTTCTTCACTTTCCTGAAACTAGAAGTTCAGATTGAGACAGACACAGCATTATTTCTTGGCAACTCCACTGCAGCCTTTTAAAATATCCCTGTGAGAACGTATGGCTTAATGGCTCCTTTCATTTTCATACCAAAATGGGTTATGTTGCTGAACACAGGTCTTCAATATCCCAATTATTAGATAAATAGCCACTCTGCTGAAGTGGTTAATCATACCAGCCCTGACATCCATGGTTTCATCAGCCATTCTTACTTGGTTACAGCAGAAATTCTAAAGACACCATTATATAAGTGTGAAAAGTTTAAGATCATGTCAGTTTCACAGTTCCTTACTTTGGTGTACACAGCACATCATGACACTTAAATTTATCTGTCATGGAGTGAAATGTGATTAAACTGATGGTCAGACCATCAGCATTCACATTCATGACTGATCTCTGGAAGTGGGTTTAGCACACTGCAGCATGAGGAACACTCAAATAATCCAGTGATGCTGCTAACAAGAGCAATCCCAAAAAGGCATTTTATTCATGGTCCTAAAGAGCAACGCTATGGCTGTAACATTAACAGCTCCCAGCAAAGCACAGGTGGCTTTACTCGCTCTGGGAACATCAGCTATGTTTTTATGCACTAATTTGTGCTAAAAGTCAGCAAAAAAATCATTATTGCACCTTTTAATTGTGGGGGTTTTGTTTTTGCTTTGTCACACTTCTCTTCCTCCTCATTCCTATGGAATGCTGTGCACACACAAGACCAGTCAGGTGTCATCAGAAGTCCCTGCGGCAAACCTCCCTGGTCTGACTCCTCTATAGCCACTTACTTATCAGGTATTTGTCCCTTTCTCTGCTAATCAGTCTTGACTACAGTGGACATTAAGAGTATCTTTTCACTTCTCAGAACAAAGAGAAGCATCAGTCACTTCCAGGCACTAAACAGCCACCACGATGCACACAAATAGGGGACAGGTCCCAGCAAGTTTCTCCTCTAACCCAAACTGCACAAGTCTGCCACTAGTTGTGGTGATCGCATTTTTAAACCATGTTTAATATCAAAAATATCATCTTGTCTTAATGAAACAAAAGCCAAATCATTATAGAAATAAACAGCTTGCTACCTCACTGAAACCCAGTCCGCAGTGGCGCCGGTTCCGCCCGGACATCGTGCTGTCCATGCTCTGCTGGTACTGAGACTCCAGTTCTTCATTCATCTTCTTGTCTTCTTCCCCTGCATTGCCCAGTGTACTTTGGTTATCATTCATTCCAATTAACAGACATCAAATTACATGAAGTCACATTTTCAAAGTTCATCAGTATATTTGTGAAAAAGTTTAAATTTAGCCATCTGAAACTACTGGCTCCTTACTGCACATAAACCAGACTGGTAAGCAATGGTATCAGGGTGCAAGCAAAACTGCTCTGCAACAAGGATGGGCTGCGAAGTTCCCGAGACCGATGCCTTCAGAGAGCTGTGCAGGGCAGGGTGTGTGCTCCTCAGCAAGGTCAGTGCACCCAGCTGACATCTCTGTGCCTCCTGCCCACACCACAGCGGCAGGGCAAGGGCAAAGTTCTGACTGTGGCTACGTGAGATGGGGCTGCTCTGATCAACCCGGACCAACACCCAGCAGCAGAATGCGGGACAACGCGACCACGCTCCTCTATCTGACACTGTCTCATGCAGGCTGAATTGCCAGGAGTGGTCACTACAGCTCTGTGTTTTTCCATCTCCATGAATTAGGAGAATAACTTTCACCATCTGCTCCTACATGCCCTTTACTGACTCTTCTGAATAAGTAAATAACGATCGTTACTGGGGAAAAAAAACGTGGTCTAAAATAGTCAAAAATCCTCCATTCTTGTAAAAGGAAATGTCTAAATTCTCCCTCAATAGGCCTACAGCACTCTAGTTTTTAATGTGCATCTCTGGAAAATTAAAAGCTTGTATTGCAAATTAATGTTTCCTCATTTTGGAAGGTAAGAGCTGTATGTTATTACAAAAGGGCAATGACTGTGTGTTGGACATAAAAGTGTTCAGAAAATAGCTGTTCCAATGTTTTGTAAAAAAGCAACATCTTAATTTTTTGCTAATAAGAAATCAGCACTGCTTCTTGCTGACTCCTTAGGGGATGCATCAACTCCATTCTAGGAAATTCAGGTGTAAAGGAAGCGATTCTTAGTCACTCAGTAAGCTAACAGCAGAACCTACAGCCAATCCTCAGGCTTCTTTTGGTGTTTTGGTCCATACATAACTTTTCATCAACTGAAAAATTACTAGTGGAGTATATCAGGCAAAAGTTTCTGGAATTCTTGACAGCTGCTACTCCATACAGCTTTATCAAAGCCTCTCTCAGACAGTCACACCCAGCTTGGTTTGGTTTTGATGTACTTTGGCTTACTACCCAAGCCAGTGCGATAAGAAGCCATTATGGTTGTATGTTACGTGACATCAAGTTACTGATGACTGCTCAGATCACCTTGCAGATCTTTTCAGCTTCTACCTCACTGATTTAAAGCAGAGATCTTTTTATTCAATATGTAATCGGATAGGGTGAGAAATCAGCCCTGTTCTCTTCCATGCACAACAGTTTAGAGGTTTGGATGTCCACACCTGGCAGCAAGGAAGTGCAATATTGCTAGGTACCAACAGCAACAATGCTTTACTTTCTTGTTTTGATAGCTGAATAAGACTGAGGACCTACAGGCCCTGATATCCAGGGTGTTTGTATACACTTTTCACTGACCAGCAGGTACTTGCTGAACCTGGACTTCAGGAGGCAAGCCAGTGCAGTCAGAGAAACTGCTCACCAGTAACATAATCAGAAACTCCTCCATGTCGCAGCCTGACTCGGCTTCAACTTCAGCCACAAAACCTAAAATCCCTCCCTGCAGGATCTACCAAACTCAAAGTACTGGCACGTTCCTACATCAGCGTTCCATTTCCAACTTTGCATCAGCTGTGGGGTAACTGACCTGTCCTGAAGTGAGAGGTTGATCTGTGGTCTCCGATAACAAGGCGGCCAGTATGTTCTTTCTAAAAGAAAAGGCAGTTTGTTTTGGAGCTTTAGGGTGCACTGACAGCTCTGCCAACATGCTGGAAATCTCACATGGAAAAGGTCTGCTCTCAAACCTTGACAACCAACTGCAGGGCTCTAAGCTGCACTAGCTGACAACTCCTGCCTCTCCAAGAACTCCTTTCACCTTTGTTTTGTTTAATTCTCTGAAAAAGAAACCCCAACAGCTAGATACTGCTTACTCTTCCCACACCCCAAAGCTGTCTCTGTTCAATTCTGTTTCTTGCCACTGATATGACAACTGCAGTAGAGAATGCTGGACAAGGGTGAGCTCAGGTTCTGACAGTTTCCCCTCTGGGTCTCCTTCTCTGGCACTATGCGTTAGCTGACTGTCCATCTTACAGTGATCCCACTTTTGGACAGGTCACAGTACCAGGTAAGAACCTTCACAGTGCTCATTAATTCACTGGCTCAGAAGTGGCTCATTAGCACAAGGATCACTACAGGCAGGAACTGGCATTACACAGCAAGCAGCATTAGGTATCCAAGTAGACACTAAGGTTAGTGGTAGTGGGCTGCCTTAAACAGAATATTGTTGTATTCCTGTCCACTACTTTCACATCTGTAATACAGTAAAATAGTTTAGCTTACAAAAATACTGTATTCAAGCAAAATAAGTTAGTACCATGAAAGTATTTTTCTTGAAGTTAAACTGCAATACCAAAACATTCAGTACATGGAAAAAGCACAATTATATTTCACTAGTTTTGCAGCATTTTTTGCAAAAAAGCATAGCAGAAATATCGTTTTAGAGCACTTTCTCATAAAACATAATTAGGTTTAGTATTTTGCTGGTTTAGTCTCTTTGCTACCATTTTTTGGAATCTTTAATTTTTTTCCAGTGAAAAGAGAATTTTACAGACCTAGCGCCCAGACTGGTTTGCAACAAGAACTCTCTTGGAAGCGCCCAGAGATAATTGTGTTGGCTGGTCTGAAAGTACAAAGGTGTGCGGGGGGGACGCTGCGGGGCAGAGATTACAGAGAATGACCATTTCAGGCCGATGTTTTGCTACGCCGCTGCTGACACAACGGCTGCGAAACCTAAACCCTCCTTCAGGGTAGGTGCCCAGGCCCCATCCCCTGCGAGGGCCGCCCGCGGCCGCAGCGAGGCTCCTCCGGGGCGCGTTCCGCTGCGCCGC